CACGTGTTACGAATATAAATCAGAGGCGTCAGTTCCTCTTTAGAACCGAAAGACCAACCGAGCGACTTGCTGAACCCGATCCCCCGTCCGACCCTGCGTCCACTTTATACTCTGGCCGCTGGAGAGGACCTGGTGCTGATGAGGTCGGGTGGTGCGTACATCTTCCTCTTGCTTCCTCTTGCGTCTTTCTCTCCTTTTTTTTTTTACTGATTCACTGCCTTTCTTCCTTCCCTCCTTCCTTCCTTGAACGATGTGCCTTACATTTCTCTCTCTCTCTCTTCTTTCTCTCTTTTTCTTTTTCTTTAGATCTCTTTTCTACTTATCTCTCTCTATTCTATCTCTCCCTCTCTCTCTCGCTCGTTTTTCTTTTTCTTTTCATTTCTTTTCTATATTTCTCTCTTTTATCTCTCTCTCTCTCTCTCTCGTTTCTCCTCATCTCTCTTCTTCCTTTCACTCTCTTCAATCTCTCCTCTTGTTTTTCCTTTTCTTCACATATCCTTTCTACCTTTCTCTCTCTCCTATCTTTCCTTCTCCCACTCTCTCTCTCTCTCTCTCGTTTTTCATTTTCTTATCTCTTTTCTATCTCTCTCTCTTCTATCTTTCCTCACTCTCTCTCTCTCATTTTTACTTTTTTTCTCATCTCTTTTCAAACTTTCTCTCTTTTCTATCCCTCCCTCTCTCTCTCCCTCTTTTCCTTTTTTTCTCATCTTTTTCTCCTTTTCTCTCTCTCTCTCATGTCTCTCTCGTTTTTCCCTTTCTTATCACCTCTTTTCTACTTTTCTTTCTCCCTCACTCTTCTCACTCCCCCTCTCTCTCTCTCTCTCTTGTTTTTCCTTTTCTTCTCATTTCGTTTTTACTTTTCTCTCTTTTTTTCTATCATGTCTAACCCCTCTCTCACACTCGTTCTTCCTTTTCTTCACATCTATTTTATACCATCCTCTCTCTCTCTCTCTTTCTTTCCCCTATCTCTCCTTTTCTCGCCCTCTTTTTTTTTCTTCTCATTTCGTTTCTACTTTTCTCTCTCTTTTCTATCACGTCTAACCCCTCTCTCACTTTCGTTTTTCCTTTTCTTCTCATCTCTTTTCTACCTTTCTCTCCCTGTCTATCTCTCTCGTTTTGTCTTTACTATTCATCTATTTTATAATTTTCTCTCTATTCGATCTCTACCTCTCTCTCTCTCTCTCTCTCTCTCTCTCTCACGTTTTCCTTTTCTTCTCACCTCTTTTCTACCATTCTCTCTCTTCTAACTCACTCTCATTTTTTCTTTCATTCTCTACTCTTTTCTAAATTTCTCTCTATTCTCTCTCACTATCTCTCTCATTTTTCCTCTTCTTCTAATCTCTTTTCTACCTATATCTCTTTCCATCTCTCCCCCTCTCTCTCTCTCACGTTTTTTTCCCATTTCTTCGCTTCTTTCTTATTTTCTCTTTATTCTTTCTCTACCCCCTCTCTCTCTCTCACTCTCTCGTCTCTCTCTCTCTCTCTCTCTCGTTTATTTGCTTCTCATCTCTTTTCTACCTTTCTCTCTATTCTCTCTCTCATTGTTCTTTTCTTCTAATCGCTTTCTACCTATATCTCTCTTCTATCTCTCCCACTCTCTCTCTCACATTTTTCCTATTTCTTCGCTTCTCTTTTCTTTCTTTCTCTCTATTTTATCTGTACCTCTCTCTTTGTTTTTATTCTTTTCTTCTCACCTCTTTTCTACCATTCTCTCTCTCTTCTATTTCTCTACCTCTCTCTCTCTCTCTCGTTTTTCTTTTTTCTCATTTCTTTTCCAACTATCTCTCTATTCTATCTATCTCTCCCCACTCTCTCTCTCTCCTTTTCCTTCTCATCTCTTTTCTACCGTTGTCTCTTTTTTTACCGCTCTCTTCATCCAGCTTATCACCTTCACACGATCTTTCCTTTTTCTCTTTTCTCCTCCCTCACCACCATTTCTTAATCTGTCTCTTTTTCTCTCTATCGTTGTCTGAATCTACACTTTACACGAATTGTTACCTTTCTCTTTTCCTCTAAAATTTTGTCTTCTTTCCTTTCCTTTCCTTGCTATCTTGATCTATTTTTGTTTCTCTTTCTCTCTTTCCCTTTTGCTTCTCTGTCTGTCACTCTTTTTCTCAATATTTTTGTCTCTCCATCTCTATCATTTTCTCTTTTTTTTATCCCTATTCAGTCTCTATACTTTGCTTTTGCTCATTTCTCTCTCTTTCTCTTCACTGTTTTCTCCCTATCTTTCTCACTGTCTATCTCTCTTTCTCTCTTCTCTCTTTTGCGCATGCGCGCGCACACGCACACACATACACAGATATATACGAATTGAAAACAAATATGGATTCAAATCTGACAAAATTATAGAATAAGGAAGAAATAGGAAACGTTTATGAATTTAATGTTTCGCTTTTATTTAAGCTTCATCAGATATTTTAGAAAATTATTTGTGGAATAATAATTGGTGAGGTCTTCAATGAAAGCGAAACATGTTAAATTGGCAAACATTTCCTGTTTGTTATTTATGAGTTCAATCTCACACACACAGGCCATATATATATATATGTATGTAAGAAAAAACAAAAAGAAACGTTAAGGGATTAATCAAGAATAAAGAATTATTACAGTTCGTTTTTACTTTTTAATTCTGAGATCATATTTTTTTTTTTTTTAAAAAAGCTGTCTTGGTGGGTGATAATGAGTCTCTATATATATTTACTTTGTAAATATTTACTGTAGTTTTTTTATTTTATTTTAGTCATTTGTGAAACACATACATACCAGATAACTGTCCTTTATATATGTATAGATGGCTGAAAAATATGCATAAATTGTCAATAATAAATTATTATTCAGAGATCTTCCGAACAACTCCGGATGTCCTCGCTAATTACAAATACATTTGTAATAGCTTAAATTTTCATGGTAACTTCCTGCGAATTTTTTCACAAATGACTAAATAATGGATTTGATAGTATATGCAGTGAAACCCACAACAAAATTTTTATTTTAATGTTAAACAAAAAAAAAAAAACACCTAAAAACATTTAACATGAGACAAAAATTTTATTGCCTCTTGATTTAATAATCTTTTTGTGTAATATATTTTTATTCTTGATTAATATATTTAATCTGTTTGATAGTTCTTAAACAAGATCAAACATCATCTTGCGGCCTTTTAGATGAGATTGAACTCACCAATACTTTGATTTATTGTTCCAAATAATTTTGTAAAATATCTGAATCTTGCTTCTCTAGGGCTATCATTAAATTTTTAAACGTGACACCAATTTCTAAATATTGCCAACCCAAGGCTCAGAGAATCCATTTGTTTTCTAAGAGCAGGTTTGAATTCAGAGTTTTCCCTTCTCCTAGACCAGTTCCCCATCCAAGGCTATAGAGACAGTCTGAAAATATTTACCCATATAGCTGGAGGGAAGAGCAAGAGGATGCACTGAATAGGGTTAAAAAAAAAGGGTGATAGAGATGGAAGACAAAATGTAATGGATTTGACTGACAGAATTGAACTCGGCTCTCCGATTCAAAAATAGATCAAAAATATCCAAAACTCCACCGTGCCTCAAAACGAGAGGGAAACTACAAATTTGATGGAAGATTTCTTTTCTTTTTAACGATTTAAAACGCCCATAAATTTTCAATGGGGTTTAGGTCAGGACTTTTTGCGGGATACGCGTATACCTTAATTTTGCTGTCATCTAAGTATTTTGTAACAATTCGTGTAATGTGTATCGGTTCATTGTCATTATGGAACGTCCAGTGACGCCCCAAAGACATCTTTCGTGTACTTATCTATTCTTATTTAAGAATAGCCGGGTACCCATCTTTATCCATGATACCCTGTACTTTCACTAGTTTCCCTGGCCGAGAAGCAGCAAAACAGCCTCAGGGCATAATGTTCCGGTTTCCGTGCTTAATTCTAAGAAGAGAGAGAATGGTAGAAAAGAGGTGAGAAAAAAGGAAAACTTGTGTGTGTGTGTGTGTGTGAGAGAGAGAGAGAGAGAGAGGAATAGAGAGAAAATTATAAAATAGATGAATAGAAAAGACGAAACGAGAGAGATAGACAGGGAGAGAAAGGTAGAATAGAAAAGAGATGAAAAGAAAAGGAAATGTGAGAGGGAGGAGAGATAGAAGAGAGAGAATGGTAGAAAAGAGGTGAGAAAAAGGAAAACGTGTGTGTGAGAGAGAGGGAGGTAGAGATCGAATAGAGAGAAAATTATAAAATAGATGAACAGAAAATTTGGGATTTGTGAACTTCATTCACTTTCGTCCACACATAACGGGAGTTCATGTGACCAAATAATTCTAGTTTTGTTCCATCTGACCATAAAACAGGGTTCCAATATTTACTCCCTGGGTTCTAGATGGCTTCTAGCATAAGCTAATCTGCATTTTATGTGTTTAGTCTTGGAGAAAAGTATTTCCTTGGGTGAGAAGCTCGAAGTCCTGTTCGATGAAAGAACTGGGTGACTGTCTTCGCCGATACATTCAACCCTGGTGTCTTTACATCATTGACAATGTCCTTTATCATTAAGTGAGGATTCAAGGCATCTCTAACAATTTTACTTTTTCATTCTCTCAAAAATTAACTGTTTTCTGCCAGCCTTGAATTTATCTCAACACAATGAGCCACGTTTTACTTCTTGATAATGCTACGAATTGCGATCTAGGAACATTTAAACACTTTGAAAGCGTTGTATATCTATCACCTTCTTTGTACGCATCAGCTATCTTCAGCTTCTTGTCAAGTCCAGCCATCTTCGCCATGGTTGCCAAATAAATGAGCTATTGCGGCATTGATATATTGTCTTGTTCATTACCTTTTAGGACGTTGTAGAATTAGGACAATACTATTTCATTTTCAAAGGATGTTTGCATTAAAATGTCAAATTAAGAAAAAAAAATCATTACAACTGCCATAGAGCAATATTGTTTCAGAATCCCCGTAAGTGTAGAGTCGGACAAATAATTTTGATTTATAAGATTTAAGCAACAGCAGATATTTTTTTTAGATAGAGTGCTCAATATTAAAGAAATATTAAAATAATATTAATAACAGAGCATTAATAATTTTACATAAAAAGATTACTTAACTTTTAATTATCAGTTTTTTGTCGTTTTCCCCGACATCGAAGTTTCTTGGTCAATGGCCGTTCTTCAGGGGCTTCTTCGGAAGAACGGACATTGACCAAGAAACTTCAATGTCGGGGTAAACGACAAAAATTATATTTAAATTTAAGTAAAATTTTATATAATATTATATGTGTGAGTGAGTGTGTGTGTGTATTTCTAAAGAATTAATCGATTTATTTTTAATCCAACATTTTTATTACTTCAAATATTATTATATTATACACTTCTGATTTGAAATCATTTTTTTACATTTTGGCACGTGAGAGAGGAGTTTCAGCTATGACAGTCAAAAGAGCAGTAAAAAAATAAATTGAAAATGAAATCATAAATGAAATGTATGATGCACTATGTTACTTCAGGACAGAAAGTTAGAAAGTTAAAGAGGACAAACATCATCTTGAATAAGTTAGAAAATGATCCTGGAATAATATATATTTGAACTTTATATCAATCGTTCATAAGCTTCCGATCCTTAGCTATGATTAATTAATGATGAACATCTCATTTTCGTTCATGATACTTCTATTAAGTAGTAGGGAGTCATTATCTATTCTTATTTCTCATAGTAAATTCCAACGGTGTTATAAAAACCTCGGATAAATCCAATAAGAAGATATCTTTAATCATTTCTAAGATCCAACGGTCCAGAGCTTAATCTAAAAATTGTACAATTTTGATGTTACCCGATTTGGACAATTTTGCTGTTACACACGGTATATATATATATATATATATATATATATATATAATATTATATATATATATATATATATATATATATATATATATATATAAAAACATTTTTATGTTTATACATTATTTGTATAGATAAAATATTTATGTAAATGGTCTGTTTATAATAAACAACATTTACCGACCTGAATGTCCGAGAAATTTTCACAGAAAATATTCGTCCTCCGACAGGATACGAACCTGTTTCCTATACGGAACCATCATTTAGCTTGACGTGCTTTTACCGATTTGGCCACGAAGGAGCGTTCAGCGAGCAAGGTCGCATTTACTGTATTTAAACTTTATCTTCCATGAATCTCTCACGTACATTCAAAGAATGTAAAGAAATGACGTCACACATTATGAAATGGACAAAGTC